CCAGCATTGTACTTATGCTTTTCAATTATTTTTTAAACAAAAGTAAAATCGCGGCCAGAATATAATTAAGGAATTTTGAAACAGAGTTGGGTATTTTTTAAAATTACAAGCTTGTAAACGTAGGTCTCGGCAAAATTTTATTCTCTTAAGAATAAAGTACCGAACAAAAGACTTTATAAAATTTTCTTGGTTGTGTCAGAAGTACTTATTTTCATTAATGTTTAGATTATTTCGATTTTTTTTTACTAAGGAATTTGAAAGTGTATAAATAAATACTTTCGCTTAATAATTATTTTGAATTTTTTTTTTTTAAGAAAAACTAAAATGATGTTTTTGATTTGATCTAGTTTACCCAATTGAAGACGGTATTTCATGCGTCCAATTACAACTGGTGGGCTCCCAAAGTTTACAACTATAATCTCTTTTATTCATATTAATTTAGAAGCGTATAAAGAAATATTATTAATTTAAGTATCTAAAATTTATTCAATAAGTTATCCAAGTTTATGAATATTTACTATTTAATTTTCTGTGAATGTAAGCATTTACGAGCCTTATTAATTTCATTTTAATATAAGTTTTTTTAAAAAAAAATTATTTTATTTTGCTTAAAATTTGTAAATATTTATTAATATAACATACCGTGTCAATTTAATTTGTCTTTATTCAAAGAATAAATAAAATTTTAATGATTATTATCTAGTAATACATTTTTAATTTTTGAAATTATCACTTTTTTTTTGAACGAAGATATCTTGCCAACTGCCTAGCTGATCTTAATGAATTTTTTCATCATTTTGATAATAATGTAATAATAATAATGATGATGATGATGATGATAATGATAATGATATTGATAATGATAATGATAATGATAAGAATAAGAATAAGAATAAGAAGAAGAAGAAGAAGAAGAAGAAGAATAATAATAATAATAATAATAAATAATAATAATAATACAGTGCAGGCATCCTTAAATCAACATATAAAACTCATAATTTTTAAAAGCTTATAAATAAAAAACTAAAGTAGACATTAACAAAATCTCTTCATAAAATAATAAAATCAAACCTAAAGAACAAAGTTACAAAGTTTGTTTTTTTAGTTAATTATAATTTTATTTAGTTGAATTGTTTTAAAGTTTGTATAGAAACCAAAATTTGGCTATATATATAAAAACATAATAAAATTTCAAAAAATATAATAAAATTTCAAAAAACATAATAAAATTTTAAGGTTTAGCCAATCAGAAGTTAGTATTCTGTCTCAATTTTGGCCACTTTAATAAAAGTTGTTGGTTTAAGAATGCCCGCACTGTAATAATAATAATAATAATAATAAAATTAATTGAATTTTGTTAGGTAATTATTGAGATATCTTAAATTTTCCAAAAATTCAAAACGTCTAGTAGCTGTGGCAAAATTTTTCAAAATTTTGAGCAAAGATAACTCAGCAACCATCTAATCAAATTCATCTAACCTTTTTTTTTAACTCTAATATTTTAGAATCAAAATAAAAAAGAACTCATCAAGTTTTATGAGTAATTGCTGAGATATTTTCACTTAAAGCTTTGAAATATATTTGCTGCAGCAATTGATAGACATTTTGAAAAATTTCAAACTTTTGACTAAGATATCTTGGCATCTACCAATAAAATTCAATAAATTTTTATTTATTTATTCTATAGGTTTGTAGAATTAAATAAAAAAAGTTTATCAAATTTTGTAAGGTGGCCACTGAGATATCTTCGTTCAAAACTTTTTAAAAAAATTCAAATGCCTATCAAAATTATTAATAAAATTTAGACCGATTTGAGAATTACTTATAATTTTACTAATGAAGTCATAGCTGCTTATTATAGCTGTTTTTATTATTTTTGGAATATCCAGTAAAAAATTGGCCAAATGATTATTTGATTTGGGCGTGATTAGTAATATAGTGATAATAATATATTTTTTTGTAATTGTATTCTGAATAATACTACAATGTCAATACATCCAAAATTAATTTTCGCTTGAATGTATATCCAGTATATTAAATGTGCTTAGTCTGTACGAAAATTTATGACTAAAATTGTTTTTGCCAAGCAACAGATTTGACAAAAAACAAAAAAGGTTCTGAAATATAAGATAAGCTTTCATAATAAATATATATTTTGTACCCCGGATTGGAATCTGCCCAATTCGGAATCCGGCTATTCCAATTCAGAATCGGGGTAACTCAATTTAGAATTCTTATGAGGGTTACCTGGATCAAGAATTCCGTAAGTACAAATATTGCATCGACCCAAGCACATTTAGTTGTTCTATTTTTTTTCAGTAAAGCTACCTTTGTTAAAATGTATTATACGATCTTTGAATAATATAATTAATTACTGGATTAAAAGCATGGTTTATATAAATGGAAAGAACATTATTTATTAAAATAATATGCTTAAAATAAAATTCTCATAGTTAACTAAATTAGCTGCCCAGACAATAAGATTATGCAATGCTGCAAAATACATAATTTAAAATAAAAAATAACTTATTTTCTATTTCCAGCTTTAAGCTTGGTGCTTACACTTTGAATTCTTCAAATAACATCCACTTCCACATACAATATTTGCTTTTTGCAAATATATCTTGCTGTAAGACAGTCTTCTCTAAAATTGCATACTTGTTACTAGAAAGAGTATTAGATTGCAATCTTACCGCCTCAATTATATTAATAATTGTGTTGGTTGGAGGATTATCCAGCTCTGGATATTCTTTTGGTCTAAGTAGTAAAATTGCACCAGCTGAAAATGTTTGGTCAAGAATACCAAATCAACATACAAGGTAATACATATTTCTGGGAAACACTGCAAATACTATACATAACGATCACCAGGCCCATGAAAAATTTGTGTCTATATCTATAATATTTGACATTAAATTATCAGTTAAGGAATAATATAGTAAGTTGTATATATCTCAGAGCCTTGTTCTATTGAGTAAGTTTATTTTATTTTATTTATTTGCTTTTTTTTTTTTAAAAAAAAAAAAAAAGAATACTAATCACATTTTTTTTATTTATAATAAATTTAAACTTTTAATTAATTGCATCATATTACAAAATTGTTATTTACTTCGCTCTTATATAACTGACTATACACACTTTGCAACTGTGAATGCTTAATTTAAATCACGATCAATCATTTATTTTCAATCGATCGTACATACACAGGCTTCAATTGAGTGTCGACCAAAATTCTTGATCCGGGTAACCCACATAAGAATTCTAAATTGGGTTATTCCGATTCTGAATTGGGATAGCCAGATTCCGGATTGGGTGGATTCCAATCTGGGGTACAACATATACATAAAGAGGCGCTAATTAAAAAAAAGTTTGATATGAACAAGAATTTATTGATCAGACTAACTTAAGTTATAATTCTAAACACCAAGTTTTTATTAACGTTTGTCGAAACTACATAAACAAAATCATAGTAAAAATCTATAAAAGTATTTTCATTTATGTAATATTATAAATTATAATGAATTTTTAAAATATAACGGATAATCTAAAGAACTATTAGCTTTTTCATCTATAGTAAACATTTTAAAAATGCCTAGCTTGTTTTAAATAATTGCTATTTAATATGAAATATTCAACATATCTGAAGTAATTGCAATTGAATCTAATATAATCTGAAGCACAAAATAGTGATATCGATGTATGTTATCTGTTATTAGAAGTAATCGCCCATTACCGAAATCAAAAACTTATTGAATCGTCATTTGATCAATTTTTACCAAATATCCAAAATTAATGAAAACAGTTGTAAATGAAAATTTTTTCTGTATCAATTTTACCATAATGCGGACTTATTTTTTAAGAATTTCTATTTTTGTAATGAAAAATTAAAAAAATCAAAATCGACCGGGGTAAAATCGCCACCTAAAAAAGTTTCGAAAATCATGTGGTATTGTCAATTCATCATGATTGGGATCATGATAATAATAAAATAATAAATTATTAATTGATTTAGTAAATGAATTTTGTTTTTTCAATTCTTCAAAATGTAAAACGATTGTTGAACTCTTTTAAAAACATAAAATTCAATAATACAATATTCTAAAAATACACATTGTTCTTTGTAACCAAATTTTCACTAATGATAAATGAAAAAAATCGTAATAATAATACGTAATTGTCCGAATTGCAATGCAAAATCTAGAATTAACGGGCCTCGTGAAGATCTGCAGTCAGTGTAACCAAATAATCAATCAAATACCTTACAATATTGTTATATACTTAACTATTGTAAATTGATTTTTACTCTAAACAGCAGCTTCACGTATAATTTATTGCTTCCTAGGAATTTTTGTACATTACGGGTTACCTGATATAGCTGATCACAAACTTTTTAACCATATATGATTCAGAGCACATGTTATACAACCATTATATAGCTTTTTACTCGGCCTGTTTTTTTTGTTTTTTTTTTAAATTGCTCTCATCGCTTACTTAGAAATTTTTAAAGCTCAAATTCTATTATTCATTTTCTTTCTACAGTATATCTCTTAGCCTTGCTTCACTCAAACTTTACACTTTTTCATCTTACTGGTTATATCAGAACGTGTGTTAAACAACCGTTATATAGCTCTTTACTCGGTCTGTTTTTTTTTTTTAAAAATTGCTTTCAGCTTTACCTAGACATTTTTAAAGCTCAAATTATTTTCTTTCTACAGTATATCTCATCAGCCTCGCTTCACTCAAACTTTGCACTTTTTCATCTTACTGGGTATTCACATCATATTGCAGAATCAAGTTCTATTCTTTGCACTACTTAATTCCAATACAGCCTTAATCACACACTGTGCTACTGCAATATTTTGTAAATTTTATCCTATTTTATCATTCGTTACGTTATTTACTTAGTACTCATTTATTCTTCGCATTACTTCATAAATTATCCTTTTTATCGTTCGTTACTATTTACTAAAAATTTTCAGTTAGTTATAAAGATAAATTAAATGACTTTTGCAGAAATTGTAAAAGGATGGGAAACAGATAAATTGTTGCAATTTCTAATAAACCAAAGCAGGTTAAGGCCAGATCAAGAAGATATTGCTCTTTTCAAATATCAAAAAATTCGAGATTATTCTTTTCTCAACATAAAAGAGAAACAACTTACAAGGTGCAAGTTTAAATTTGGACCTGCATGGGACATTATGTCCTTAATTTCTAATCTCAATAACCATGCGTATATACTATTTTTTCAACAATAGTTTCATTTTGTGGGTTTATTATGGATTATTTACAAATTTTCTTTTTGTAGAGGAAACTTTGTATGAAATAATAATTCTATCTTTTAAAAAGATAGAATTATTCATACATCGAATATTTCATGATCTATTCATATGAGGAATGGTCCTTAGATCATTTTCAAAACTGGGCCAACACGAATTATAACCAGACTATTGCCACTGGAATAGCAAGTAAGCTTTTCTTTAGATCATAATAGAAGTCATGATAATTCTGATGCAAGCTAACTTGATCTTAAATATATATCATGCTGACTAGAATAACGAATTTTGTAACAGAAAGGATATTTTATAGTAACTCTTTATAGAAATTACAATAATTCCAATATAAACTCACAAACTATTGTTACTGGAATAGCAAGTAAGTTTTACTGTAGCTTATGATAGAAGTTGGTATCACAGTAATCCTGATGCAAACTAATTTATTACATATACTTTGATTACCTGAAGCAAGTTCTGTAATAGAAATTTTTTAAAGTATCAATCGATTTTTCAAAAAAAATCTAGTGATGAAGGCATTGGCAGAAAGCTAGTAAGCTTTATTTCATTAATTACAAGCAAGAAACCATCAAATTAGAACTTAGCTAAACAAAATCATAGAATATATCAAGTATACCTGTCAAATTTATTAGTCACAAGCTGAAAAAATAAGTAATGTTCGGCTGTCATAAAGATATTTAAATTAGGTTAATATTTTAATTTTTAATTAGAATTAATTCTCATAACTATGTAGCAACGAAGATCTGATAAGCATATAATATCTATTGAAAAGTTTCTCAACTTATCATTAGTAACGTCGAGAATAGCCAACTTTTTACCGGCTTTGAATATTTCAAGAATGATACGAAAAATTCAAATTTCTATTGATGACAAATTAGTATCTTATCTATTTTATCACTGTAAACAAATATTCAGAAAGAAAAATATCGATCAGTCTGAATGAAGGGCATAAAGAATGATTAACTACAAAAAGAGTACTTAATTTATCGAAGAAAACAAACTACATGGTTAAAAAGAAATAACTATTATAATATGAAATTCAAGTTTATTTGTATTATTCTATGCATTATACATGTGTTGTAAATATTGCTGTATATTATCGTTATAGTTGAAAAATAAAGTCTTAGTAAAAAGTAAAAAAAAAAATAAAAATTCGAAGCCATTTTCTGGATCATTATCCGAACTATCATCCAAACCAAATCTGGTAAACATTTTCTGGGTGCTTGCAACACTAGTTGGGATACCAGAAAGAGATCCAGAAAATGTTCACCAGCTAAAGAATAGCAGGATGGTGAAAAGATTCATATAGAGTTAGATAAATTTCAACACTAGAATTGCTACAATTTTACATACACTTGATTCAATCGTACTTGAATGACGAACATGAAAACCTACCAACTACAACAGAACTAAAACAGATCCTTTTAAAATTAACCGAATTATACCAGATTTTATTAGGCCAAATGTTGATGTTTTTATTATTAGCAAATTGGTTTCTGTAAATTCAGAAGTGAATTTAGAAATTAATTTTCAAGTATAAAAATCATTTAAAAAATATTATTTATGATTTGTATATGTATGTTTTTTTATAATTTCTTTTTTTACATCTAAATTTTAATCATGTATTTAATTATTTATAAATGGGATATACGAGGACCCCAAACAATCTATATAAAGGTCATATTTGAAAAATTGCTATTATAGGCCCTTTTTTAAAAAAAGTTTATATTTGAAAAGTAGGTATTGGGTAAAAAGTAAAAAGGTTATATTTGAAAACTGCTAATCACTAAATAGGATATATTTAAATTTTTGCTAATTGAATAAGTATTTTAAATGTTATATTTAAATTATGCTAACAAAAAATAAATTGTAAATTCTGTTTTTTTTTTTTTTTAGAGAGAACACTTCTGTTTTTTTTTTTTTTAGAGAGAACACTTCTGTTTTTTTTTTTTTAGAGAAAACACTTTTGTTTTTTTTTTTAAAGAATCTTATATTTTAAAAATTTATAACAATGCCTAAAATTCCGATCTAATATTTGAAATATAGATAATATATACCAATATAAAATTGCTAACAAAAAAAAAGTTACTATGATAGCCAAATATAAGCTATATATAGATTATTCGGGGCCTGATATATGTGTGTACACTGTACAAAATAATTATTACACATCAGGTAAAAAGTTTATCTTGTGAACTTGTATAGTTAACTATAATCTGTATAACATTAACATTTATCTGTAGTTGAAATAGATAACTATTAGAGTGGACGGGGAAATGTGATACACATATATGTGCATATGTGGTCACATTTCATATGTACACATATGTAATAATCGATTCTGTAGAATAAACCTCTTTTATAACAATGTCTTTTATAACAAGCTGTAAAATTTTAAATTTACATTAGTTCTATATGGTAAGCGTGAACTTCAGAAAACCCTTTTTCTTCCAAAAAACCAGTTTGCTATATAAGAAAGCTAGCTATATTTTCCATATTTCAGAAGAAAAATGAGTCCAAGTGTAAAGTTTAGTTCTTATTTGCTCGAAGTTTTAAACTGTTTTTATTTACAATTTCATATATTTCAATACACATATTTGATTGAAAATATTATAGTAGTTAAATGGAAAACATTTAAAATTAATGATTTATATAGCTTTGACTTTATTGTTTGTTTTTTTGAAATGAAGGTATTAATTAAGCCAGCATTACAGGATCTCTTCTGAGAATATCGATTTCTACAAGATAGAATATTTTAAGGTTATACAATGAATTAAAATTTATTCCTAATTATAATAAGTTCTTTGTAGTTTTGTTTATTAAAATTATAATTTAGAAATAAGCACATTATTAATAAAAGAATTTTATCATTAGAATTCAATTTATATTAAGCAAAAATCTACTCACAATACAGATTGTAAATGACTAGTTTATTAAATGAAAAGAATTTGTTATAGTATTTGTTTGAAATTTGAAATCTAATAGAAAATTTATTCGATTTTATTAAAATATATGAAATTTAAAATACTAATTGAATTCTCTAAAAGAGTATGTCTCCTATCTGTAAGAATATTTTTGTACATGGAAAAGCTTCATTCAACATCAACTCCCGAAACAAGAAGCCAAATATAAACTAAAGCAATTCGAGACAAATTAAGTAAATGCCTAGCATTTCTTTTCAGTATGCATTTAAATCAAATTCACTATTATAATCAAAATTATATCAGCAAATTTTAAAGAGTGTAATATTTCGTAATAATTTACAAACCGTAAAAAACTGTAATATTATGTAAAAACTTTCAAAATATTGCAGAATATACAAATTATGTAGTATTGCATAAGAAATTTTGAAATATTTCGAAATTGTTTACGTAATATTATGGTAATATTACGGATGATCACGCATAGATTCTCATATATGATTGGCCTTTTTTAGTACTAGCAAAAAAATTTTTTGCTGATTATTATTACTAAAAAATTTTCATATTAGTAAATTGATCCGTGTTCGATCAAAGAAATACCACATTAAAGTTTAGTTTCTTCAACTAGCAGGTATATGAGTCATTTGTCATCACAGATCTTAGTGCGCCCTAGAAGCTTCTCTACAATAAATGTTGATAAGTATATAATTGATTTAGTACATGTACAGATTTGTGGTATGTTCATTTAGGTTTTTATTATAAAAAATTATGAATTTAAAGTTTATATTCGCCATTCTAACTTCTAATTCTATATAATTAATCTAGAAAAAAGGGCTATTACAAAAAAAAAGAGTTAAGTTAAAGTTAAGTAACAATAACCTAGCACTCTTTCTGTCTTATATTAGTTAAAAAATACTGCTACTTAGTAAGAGACAGCAGACTATCTTTATCAAACCACAGATCTACTCTTATATCATTCTACTATTTTTTGAACCTGTTTTTAAAAACATTACTCTAACTGCTTTAAATTTGAGGAAAATCATTAATGGAAAATACACTATACTAATTTCATTAGATCAAGGAGAGAGCAGAGCTTTGTAAAGACAACTTTGATCATGATAAACTTGGATCTAAAGATTAGATCCAGTTTTTAATAAACATATCTACATGATCGTTCTTTCATAATTTTAATGACTTTGCAGACAATATCATTATCTAATATTTACTATTATCCATATTTACAATATTTATTTTTTTATTTGTATCAACTTAGGGTACTTTCAAGCACATAAATGAATAGGTTGGAGCTTAATTTTTAATTTGTGAAAAACAGGTTAGCTATTCAAGTGAGTTCATTATCATAATGAACAAAAAAGATGGTCAGAGACTATCATTTTTTTTCATAGGGTTGTACTGAGTAACTAAAATTTAATATCTAACATTTCACCTAAATTCTTAGCAAAATTACGGTAAGGATTACTTTAATTCATTGTAGTACATCTGTTCGATCTTTATTACTAGCTAATCATGTTGAGAGATGCTCGATTATTCATAAGTCAAGGTATTTAAAATAAGCCTAATTTCTTTTTAACTTTAATAATTGACAATGGGGGTATTTACTTAATGTGCTCTAAAGCATCATTCTAGGTATGATTTATATCATATAAATGCAAAATAACATCCACTTGCACGTTCTACGCTGTTTTAATTTATTATCTGTATTATTCCATGAGTACTATCACTTTTTGACAAAGTTATTTCCTAGCGATGCCCCCAAAAAAATGAACTAGATTATTTTGCTAGTACTTGCTTACATGTAATTTCGGATACTGATCTTTGAATAAATTAAGTTTTATTTTTATTCAATGAAAATAACATTTATTTTTTTAATAGGAGCACTAATATTTCATCATTCTTTTTTTTAGTAGAAGCACTAAAATCTCATTATTTTGAGTATAGGGTTTCATTATTTTAAAGTTTTATTTTTTAAGAGTTTAGTATTTGTCTTTCATCAGAAGAGTTTGAGTTTCATCTTTTGTCAGAGGTTTTGTCTAACAACTATAATTTATTCTATATTGGTCTAATAAATAAGAGATTGATGTTACTAAAGTATATATATTGCAAACTGTAACGAATAAATAAATTGTATGTGCTTACCATAACAAAGACTAAATATATTTATTTTAATTTTTTTTTCTTTATTTCAGTATCATAGGCAGATATTCATATAATTGAATGTTCAAATTATATTATTTATAGTTTAAAGTACTTTTTAAAAAAAAGAAAACTATGAATAATAAACAAAAAAGAAGTATATGGTAAGTTTTATTAGAGTTGTAGGACTCCACTATTAAAAATAATCAAGTAATAACCTAATTTTAAGAAGCCGCTATTATGCAAACTTCTCTAAAACAAAAAAGAATTTTGATTATTATTAATAGTGGAGTCCTACAACCCTAATAAAACTTTTTATATATTTCTTTTTTGTTTATTCTTCGTAGTTTTCTTTTTTTAAAAAGTACTTTAAACTGTAAAATTAAATTGATTTAAACATCCAATCATATAAATATCTGCCTATGAATTTTAGTATTTAAAAATTTAAATTAGAGTATTATTATGTAACTGTAAATACTGAGAGCCAATCAAATTTTAGATCTGTGCACAATAAAAAAAGTTGCTTATTTTTAATTTCAGAATTTTGTAGTTGTCATCTTGGAACTGTCTTTGGAGCTGCCATTAGTATCATTGTGTTTGGTGTCATTGCTAGTGTTGTCTTATTAGTGTCACCATCTTTTGAGGTGCTGGTATCATTGCATTTTTGTTGATTTCTTTGTTGATTTATGGTGGGCTCCTTCACCATTTCACCATAGTGTTTTGTCATTTAACAGTAGGTCTTTTGTCAGTTTATAGTAAGTCTTGATTTTTTGCTACTTCATAATGAGTTTTTTGTAGTTGTTTTGTTGCTTTACTGTGAGTTTTTTTCGTTGCTTCATTGTGAGTTTATCATAGTTGTATCGTTGTTTCAGGATAAGTCCTTCCATTTCACTGTGGTGTTTTGTTGTTTAACAGTGGGTCTTTCGTCAGTTTATAGTAAGTCTTTTGTTATAGTGAATTTTTTGTCACTTCATGGTGAGTTTTTTGTGATTGTTTTGTTGCTTTATTGTGAGTTTTTCATCATTCCACAATGAGTCTTTCATTGGTCTATGTTGGGTCTTTTGTCATAGTAGGGCTTTTGTTGCTTCATGGAGAGTTTCTTCGCTGTTTCACTGTAGTGTTTTGTTATTTAACAGTGGGGTTTATGGTAAGTCTTTCGTTACAGTGAATTTTTTGTTGCTTCATGGTGAGTTTTTTGTAGTTGTTTTGTCGCTTCACTGTGGGTCTTTTTTGTTGCCTTATTAGAAGTTTTTCATAGTCATATTGTCATTTCACGGTTGGTCTATGTTGGGTCTTTTGTCATGGTGAGATTTTTGTTGCTTCATGGAGAGTTTCTTCACCATTTTACTGTGGTATATTTGTTAGGGTCTTTTGTTGGTTTTAGTAAGTAAGCTTTAGACACTTGACATGCATGACAAAAACAAATACTTCTGAAAACAACACAAGGATAAAAAAGTAAAATGAGGATATCAATAATCGCATTAAAGAATTTCAGCTTGAAGCCACAATTATGCAGATTTCATCAATTTCCTAAAAGTTATTTGCTTATCAACTCATTTACTTAACACTATAATGCCGACGTGCTATTTTATCTATAGCACATTTTTCTGGTAAAACATATATGTTTGATATTATATTTTTTTAACAATTCATTTCTTAGACAAGATATTTTCCAACAATCATTTCTGATATATAATTCTAACCAACACTAATTCTAAATCAGACCAACCCTAATGCTAAATTGGGTCAATTTTTTGTCAAAGAAAGTTGAAAAATATCTTGTCTATGAAAGTTAAAAAACTATAACGTCTAGCATATCAGCATTATAGTGTTGGATAAATGAGTATAAATTTCAGGAAATTGAGCAACAGCGATTACTTTAAACAGATTAAATTTTATTTATAAAAGTAGTAATTATTTTGGCAACTGGTTAAATGGGACAAAGAAGATTTTAACATAATTATTGAAGTTGGAGAATCGTCAGACACTAAGAGATTCAAAACACGCTCTGCTGTTTTGAGATATTGTTCTTTATATTTTTATAATGAATTGGCAAATATTAATAAAAGCAGAAATAACATTAAGACAATTAAATTAAAATCTATCTCTATTCAACAATTTGATACTATTATTAAGTAAGTTATCGAATAATTTAATATTGTTCTATGTAATTAATAATAAAAATTTATCCGAAGATATATATATAGTGGTGTAATCCCACTGGAAAATTATGATGCATCATTTATATTTGATATAAGGGTCATTATTACAAAAACAATTTCTAAATCCAGATTACCTATATAGTTAGTAATTTAATAGGGCTAGTTTTTTTTATGTTGTATATGTATAATTTGTTTTAAATAAATCTAAAAATTAATAAATATATATACTTAGTATATTTGTATACTTTAAATTTGATTAGTTGATTGGCTTTTATATAATCTGCACATGTGCACTTTGCACTAAAAATAAACACTCTTTTGAAATTATAAATTGTGTAATATTCCATGTTAAATTGTGTAATATTTCGCAATAAATTGCATAAAATTCTGCAATAAATTGCGCAATATTTCGTAATAAATTGTGCAATATTATGCCCAGAGTGTAATTCTTGCGCAATATTACAGGCCATAATATCTTACATAAGATTACGGTTATATATTTTGCTAATATATCATCCAATTTACAGTAAATTCCCCACTCACGTACAATTATGTAATTCGGATTTTCAAATTCAGAAATACTCTTATACAAATTAATATCTTGCCTACTTTGTTGTAAATGAAAGTACTGAGGATTGAAGCATTGAATTGCTTTGAATAATAATAAAGCAGGTGTTGGTCAATATGTTTTTTAAACTTATTTAGTGCTAGTTGATATGCTTCTTTAAATTTAGTTATATATTGTGAAGAATCTATATTAAATATATTAAATTTCATTAGTATTTTGTCATTTAAAGATGGATTTATAGTACCAGCTTGTAACTGTGCTTCAAGTTGTACCAAATGGCTTAATACAAAAGGTGCTACAGGCTTGTTTTGAATTTTAAAGAATTCCAAGATATTATATAAACTAAATATAAATTAAAATATTAGTATTAAATTATATATTACAATTTATTTGAATACATATAAAAATTAGTAAAATACTATGTATTTACCTTTGCGCATTAAATGTGATGGATATAGTCAAGATTTCAAACTCAAAAGTAAGTAAAGAATCTTTAAAAACTGATATTAATTTTTGAACTACTTTTCCTTCATTATTAATTAGATCTTTATTTAAGTAAAAATCTTTTAATTAAAAAGCATACTTGTCGATCCAAAAAACAAAATTAAACCAAGAATTCCATCAGGTCTTGACTGGAAAAGGAGGTAATGTTGTTGATAATTCAGGATTTTGTGAATTAAAAAAAGAAATCCATTTTCTTTTATGTGCATTATTATGAGTAAAAGATGCCTTAATATGCATAGCTACTTCATCTAATAATTTAAAGCCTTTATAGCCTACCCAGGTTTCACCAACCAAATTTAATATATGGGCCAAACAATGGTTATGCTTCATTTGACATATTAAGGAAGATAGAATGCTAAATGCTTTTAGTATATAAGAAGTATTATCTGATATAAAAAAGTTAATATCTTCAAATGAAATAATGTAAATTGAAAAGTTCTTAATACTAATTGCGCAATTGTTGAACTGTTTACAATGGTTAAATGCTCAGGTTTAACAAGTTTAGTTTTATTGTAAAAACTAAATAATATATTAACTGCTGCTCTTTTGCAAATATCAGGTGACTCATCAACAGTTATAGAAATTCGTTGCCCTACTAAAAGTTGTTTTAAATTTTCTATTTCTGAATCAAATACAATGGGCAAATATTTGTTATACAATTAAGTAGATTCAACAATCAAACCTCCTATAAAATAAAAGTATAATTTAATAAATAAATTAATAAATTTAATACACAATATATAATATATGTACCATTTTTCAATATTTTAATAAAAAAGGTTTAAGTTTGTTAATTTTTTCAAGTGGAATATTGGCCTGTGTTAAGGCATAAACTAAATCCACATTAATTATTTCATGTTCTTCTCTACAGATATTAGAAACACTTCGGCTTGTTGTTTCTTGTAGTTTTTCTTTTGATTTACATTCATTTGTTCTGTTTTTGCTTGTTTTTATATGTTGATCAAGTAAAAACTTGTTTTTATAATTTAAAATACTTTCACAAAAAATACAAAGCAAATTTTCACCATCAACGTAAAATTTTTTTTGTACTCTTCATTTTCGTTGATACGATCATTTGGGTAATCATTTTAAAAATTGAAAAGTAAAAATAAAAAAATGATATTTTATTCGAGTTTTATTTAATATCAACTGACAATGGATACAATCTCTGAAGTTTACATTGTTGATCCATTGTAATAAGAGCGAAACTAATTTTGATTTTCTAGTGTTAAAGCGAAACTAATTTCAAATAGTTTTAATTTTATAAATATTAATACCTTCTTTTGGCAAAATTAAGCAAAGATATTATTATCTTTATTTGGTAAATATAAAGTCTAATTTTGCTAAATAATATAAATTGAACTTTTTAAATTAGTTTCGCTTAATATTACTTTTAAAAAAGCCTTGTAAAGATGAATTTATCATTATATACTGTGGCACATATGTGCATATATGATTCACATTAACGTGACTACATATGCATATATATACGCATCACATTTCCCCGTTCACTCTAATAACTATAGTTCAAAGGGTATCCATAATTTACGTTAAACCAGTATTGTTATAGAAATCTTAAAGACAATACAAAAATAATACCATATAGTATTATCAAGATCCCAATTTCTATATAATACAGACTAGTTTAACGTAAAACATGGATGCTGCCAAACAGTTAATTCGCAGCTAATAGTTTACAGATAACGATAATACAGATTTTTGAACATTCCAGCAGTAAATTATAGGATAAACCAACAAATCAGCCAAAGTGATTGTACACAATTAAGGCAAAGGTAGTATGAAATCACATGAGCTGCCAATTTTATACAGTCACATAGCACAAGCTATTTATGAAACCTATAAATACAGAAATATATCTCAACCTCTATCTCAACAAACTCTAAACCAAAAATTTTTTTGCCTCGCCTATATATTACCATATTCATATTCATTAAAATTATTTCTGGCTCTTAGCTCAATCAGCATAATTTCAATACAAAAGTACATGCCAACACGAATTGATAGTTGATATATTATGCGTGTCTATAGAAATAATACAATGTTATTAAAATTATAATGTTTTTACTACACAAGAAGCATTTTACACATTGAAAATTCACTCAAGGAACCTTTATAAGAGTAAAGATCCACATATCCTCAAGAAATTAAATATATGAGATCTTTATTTAAAAAAGCCATTGAGGATTTGAGTATTCATTTCTCTGAATACAAAAATTCTCCTAGCATTACTCTGGCATTTCCAATAATTATTGAAAGTAATGAAGATGATGAAAGTAAAAAAGAGGATAAAAAAATAATAGATTTTTCAAGTTATTGTAAAAATTAATTTATTTAATTGATTTAATGTCTATAAAATATCACAAAGGATGTCGAAGTCAGAATATTAGCCAACATAAAGAGAAAAGGAAATGTTAAAACATACCAAAAAAACAAAATTACCAAAATACCTAAAAAGTATTGCGCACAGTGTGAGAGGTGAAATGAACCCTACTAGCCCTATTTTTAGGTTATAGTCAGTAAAAGTCCCAAATTATTGGTTCAAGTGGTACAAATCATTAAGAATTCCAGTAATCTAATAGATATTAGAAATTCCACTAGATAATGAAAATAAGTTTTTATTCTCCTTATCTATTAGATAGCAAAAATAATGTAGCATTCAAAGAATTCTTCTATATGTAAAAACAATTATATAAGATGCGCTTTTTCTTTTAATAAAACACAACTCTACAGAGTTTTATAACTCTAAACTCAATAACTTCGAAGCTATAATAGTAGAAGTTACTTATCTTTTCCCTTTGATCCTAATAAATCGTCAAAATAACCTTGTCACTGTCCCAGTATTGTAAATTAAACCGTTGCTTCATAGTATAGTAGAGTCTAACCTTCGAAATCTGAGTAGAAGCGTTAACTCTAAGTTCTTTAAGTCTAAAAACCTTGTCCCTAAGTTCCCCCAACTCTTAAAACAAAATAAGAAATAAAGAATCAAATAAATTAAAACCCTTATACATATACTTAACAATTCCCGTAACCAATTGTTATCCCTAAATAGTATAACAATTATTAAATCGATCTTCATGATGCAATACCCGTGACATAAATACCGGGAAAGTAAATTAAGCCTCAGATCTATGATACCCGTGACGCAAAAATCTCAGATTGGATTAATTTACCGATCACCGCAGCCGTAATTCCAGTGACATCACACGTGATACACGTGACGATCGTTAAGAATCTTAATGATCCTATAGAAGCTTGAAATATACAAAATCTTGAATTAAGGAAAGGACCATAATTATCTTCCGGCCCAAGTCTAATAACCAACATTAAAAGTATAATTTTGGTTTATACTTATCTTAACCACCAAGTACGCCGCAGCAAGACTCGAAAAGACTTTGAGACTTGGACCAAGTATCTCCTCGCCTCTTTCTGCCTGCCAAATCGAAGTCTTTAGGGTCTTCGGATTGTAGTTTAGTTGATTAAGTGTTTAGATTTAGTTAGTTTTAGATTTCAACTTACAAGTCGCACTTTTTCAACAGATAGCTCAAATAAATATACAGCATATTGCAACCAACAAAATTTTGGCGGCATATTGCCTTAAACTTGGAATTTACAAATTCAATGAAATAAGCCCTTCAAAAATAAAGGAGAGCCATGCTGATGCTTTGAAACAGATGTTGGTGCATTTTATCTAATGAATGGGGAATTAGAAACCTGTATATATTTAGACAGATTAATGACACTACTATTAGTTCTTATAGTTGGAAGTGATGCAGGAAGAAAGAACCAATGAACACTACCTAATAACTTTGGAATGCAATAGATTCGTCTTGTTATTTCTGGTATAAGTTCTCCTGGCACTAATAGTGTCTCCAAATATTTTGGGTCTGGTGCTGCTACTCCTAATACACACTTAGGGTCTGGGGCAGCAGTAAGCTCACCTAAACACCCAAGTAAGTTTGTTTTTAAGATTTTAATTAATTTAGGTTTTAGTTTGTTATTTCATATTAACTCTAGCTTTAATTCATATATACCAGGCTGAGTTTATTTGTTAGTTATTTTGAACCTTATTCTAATCATTTGATTTTTACACATAGGCTAGGTGCTGAGAAAGAGGCCAAGTTAACAAGAAAAAAGATCTTTGGAAAATTAATTTTTATCTGTTATATTATAACAAGTCATGCGCCTGCCCAGTACTAGGAACTTTTTAATTTATTATTGCTACTACTATTAATTGAATTTCATATTTGTTATAACATGGTAATTATCTTTGCTATATTATGTGTAGTAGACTTAATGGTCTAAGTAGAGTGAGTATTCAAGTTTTGGTTTTATTATACATTTAGTTGGTGTACGATTCATAAGGTATTTTATTTATTACTTCATTTATGGCTCAAGTGGGAATCCTTCCTATTCTCTATTAGTTTAACTGACATTGCAAAATAGTCATGGTCGGGAATCATAATCTGTGGTCTTAAACCAAGATCCATGGTCTAAACCAAGATCTATGATTCCAAACCAAGATTTATGGTCTCGAACCAATATCTGTGGTTTTAAAATATGCACAGTCATATCATATCAATAACACTAACAAATATAGTAAAGAATGCTAATACAATATAGAAAATATAACAAAGAAAATTCAAATACAAAAAGTTTTATAACACCATGTACAACAATGCCCGGTAATTAATCTGCATCAACCAACCACATGAATGAAAGGTACTTCCTTATCAACATCATTGTGTTAGAGCTATTTGATGATCACAGTTAAAAAAGTTTCTCATAAATTTTATTTTCTTTATTTAAAAGAAACTTTATCATAAATATAATAATAGCAAATTTTTACAAAATATATAACTGAATAACAAGAATTCTACTTGGTTATAGCGATTCTAATACTTGCTTATTATCTAGAAATTGGTCATATCAAGCAATCAAGTTCGTGAACAGAGAATGTAAAATATAAAAAAGTCAGATTAGATAGCTATAAAAATTATATACCAAGTTCTTCATAAATCAGTCAATTTCTTTTATTTTGATAAGTGTAGATATAACTGAAGTGACGTGTGATGAAAAAACCGGCAAATATTACTAAATTTTCAGATAGGATGTTATGAATCTCATGGAGAGCATCCTTTTCTTTTTCTTTTTAAATAGAGCGAAATTCACAGACTTGCATAAATTAAAAAACTATTAATATATATGTAATTTATTTAAAAATATTGATTTATATAATACTATAAAGTAAAAAAATTAAAAGAATGCCATTAAAATTTACTTGATACTCTCCATACAGATCATCTTTATGAAATAAAGTTATAACTCTTAATTTATAATTTCCTTCCTTTTTTCAAACACAATACCACCTTTCATTGGCTTAGAAAAAGGTCCTGTATATTTTGTTTTAGACCCAATCTCACCAGTTTCAGTTCTAATATTATATTTTAATAAAATTTGATGTAAAAACACTTTAATCTCATTAATAGCAAAAAATCTACCCGGACACGCATGTTTTCCACCTCCAAATACTAAAAAATTACGTTCAATTTTTGTTGCAGGAGAATTACGTTCTAAATGACGGTATGCATAAAATTCTGTGGGATTTTGACCTTGAAGCTCTTCATCATTATGCGCATCATTAGTGTTTGAAAAGATCATACGACCTATTATAAGTTTAAGTAATTATAATAATTGTTATAATTTGAAAGTTGAGAATAACAAACAAGAAAAAAAATTACAAAAAATTACCATTTGGGACTTGATATCCATTTGCAAACGTATAATAAGATTTAGAAATACATATGTGTGCCAAACCAAGTGTACGATCATTAGCTGATAATCTGAAAGATTCTTTAACAAAACTATCTAACTTCACCATCTTAGCAATATCATCAGATGTAAGTTCGTTTCCATTACACTGCTTATTAATTTTTTGAGCCTCCTGATATAATTCGTGCCAATATTGTTTCCTTTCTACCAAATCTAATATTCAAATAAAAATAGATTTATAAGTAAAATGAACTACTAAAAGTAATAAAAAACAGAACATAACTAACCATATAAAACATGGGTAGCACCATCAACCGTAGATCCCATAGCAGCAAAAATAAAGCTGTTGATTGCATTAACAATAAAATTATAATTTACATTATTTGGATTGAGATCAGGAGTTATTACGGAGTCATTTAAGTAGCATTGTAATCCATCTAACTATTTTTTAATTGAAAAGTGGTTAAATATTTTATAATGATAATATATATTTTTTATAAATAGCTTACTGGAGCAACCCAAGCATCTCCTAATCTCTTTTTATCGTAAAGACGTTTTTCGATGATTGGTTTAATGCGACTGATAATTATATTTTTATGGTTTGAAAGCGGATTTCAACCAAACCTTAAAGGTATTCCGTTAACCAATAATAAAATAAATAAATTTTTTGGGGTTTTTTTTCTTAACAATAAAGGTATCGGTAAAGGTGAAATAAAATAAACTTTACGAGACAAATTGTTGATGAAGCCAGGGATGTATAAAAGATAGTATTGGTGGTATATAAAAAAGTTTAAAAATTGAATCTGTTAAGCTTTTAAAAGTTTCCAATATATCCTCATAATTGCTACATTCCTAATTTTTTTATTACAAGAAATAATTAAATTAATGAAAAAAGAATTTTTTACACAATAATCATACATACGTCACCGACAGTAATATCAGCAACCGGAATTGCAATAATATTTACTAAAGTTTTACGTGGATCACGAATAACCTTTGGCTCTAATAATAAATAAATTTTATTTTAAGTAAGTCTCGTGAGAAACTTAAGTTAATATCTTAAAAGCTTACCAATACAATCACCAATATAAAGATCTATGGCCTTAATAACGTTTTTTTGTAACCTGCTCATAAGATATTTTAATTTTCCTATGACATATTCGCCTATTAATTTAGTATTTTTATCTAAATCCAAATTGCTAAATATGAGACGTAGTGGTATTCGCTGTTTTTAAATTGAATTATTTAGAATTTATGATGATAATATCTGGACATCCAAAGAATTATTGTATTCACTAAGGATTGTTCAATTACCGTTTCAAGGGCTTTGCTAAGATTAAATTCTTGATCTTTTTTTAATATTTCGAGAATTGTTTCCTTTCCAGCTACAGTCATTATTTGACCAAATACATATATTGAGAATGTTTCTCCATACTATTATTAAAAGTTCATAAATTATTAACCTAATATTTATTTATACAGTATTTCTTTTTTTAAAATAAAATAAAAAATAAAGACCTTTTCTCGCGATTCTAAAATTAATTTTTCACAATCCAT